TACAGGTGGTCAGTGGAGCAGGATGAAGAAGAAACCATGTGAAACGGCCCGAAACCCGAGAAATGGGACCCCTTCCTTGCCCGTTGATTTGCGCATTGATGCGACTCTCATCGCTGTGCCCTCTTCAACACTACGCTCTCTCTGCTATCTAATCACTCGCCACGTATAGACCTGCGGCGAGTGATTAGATAGTCGGTGGGCGTACCCCGCCAACCGCGCCAAGAGTGAGCCATGCTAGATCGCCGAGGTCAAATCTTTCGCTTTGCGCAATTGCGTCGGTCAGCACCTCAGGAGGTCCGCCTGTCTCCCAACTATGCAATTTTCCCTTCTTTGACCTTCGTTCTTATCGTGAATTCCTCCTTTAAGGAATGTTTCGCCTGCAAGACTTCCGTGAACCGCGGCAATCTTTGTGACGAAAAAATCGCTGAAGTGCGGTATGGGCGCAATATCTTTTTTCTTATCTCCTTCCCCCACACCCTTGTATAAATAAGTTAAGAAACGTACTTGGCAGAGTCATAGTCACACTCCCGTACTGCCCGATGTAGAGCAGTCTCGCCGTGTTCGTCTCTCTTCACCAAATCTTTGTTGGACATCTGGGACAAGCGTTGATAATATGACAATCTAATCGCTTCATCGACCACTGGACTAGGGCTTTCTGCTGGCTGCAAATCCGAGGCCACAACTGTTGTCGCTGTACTCGAAGCCCTGAAACTCTATAACCTATTAGAGTATATGTATTGATCAAAAAACTGAATTTCAGTGGGTCTTCATCCCTTTTTCTTGCATGAAAACGGCATTTCTGACTGCTTAGAAAGGATAAATCTTGGTTCTCTGGTCCCGCACGTTCCCAAATACCATGCAAGAAAGCGGTTTGGAAAAAGGGGCCGGTGTAGTGGAAAAAACTACCTGGTAAGATCCGATCCCTGGTGTATTTATCTTATCTTTAAGAATTAGCTGAGCAATCGCCTCTTAGGACGATGTGACTTTAAGTCTTTGATACTTACTACTAACCCTGTCGCGATTTAAGGACCTTCTTGGCTAAAATGGTCTACTTATTCACACAGGAATAAGTAGACCATTTTAGCCAAGAAGGTCCCTACAAATATTCCCATTCGAAGGTCAAACCTCTAAACCTTTCTACAATATTCCAGTGGCATATCCAAAATCAACGGATTAGCAG